TCACTAATCGGTGTCAAATTCACAACCATAATGATATTGTTACTTGCTCTTTGAAGCTGTATAAAGAATTCGTGAATAGTGTTTTTCAGTGCTCTTCCATTTTTTTTCTTTTTTTCACCTGTTAAGAGCTCTCTCATTTGAGGTTTCCTTATTAATGGAACTGAGCAAACTTGGTTATATATATATATATATATATTCAGCTGCTACAGAAAGATGCTAGCAAGCGCTTAGGCAGTGGAGCCCGAGGGAGTGAAGAAATCAAGAGCCACAAATGGTTCAAGCCAATCAACTGGAGGAAACTGGAGGCTCGGGAAATCCAACCAAGTTTTCGACCCGAAGTCGCTGGGAAACAGTGTGTTGCCAACTTTGAGAAGCACTGGACTGACATGCCACTCGTAGATTCTCCAGTTGCTAGTCCAGTTGGAGGTGGAAACTTCACCGGCTTTTCTTACGTGAGGCCTGCAGCCTCTTTTCTTAGGAGGGAGGGCTCTCTCTTCTAGTGATGCCCTTTATTTGCCCCCAAGATCAAGTTATATGGGGAATTGTTTCCCCCTTTTTTCCCAATTTATGTGTAACCGTTATCATAGGCTTGAAACCTGTACTCATTTTCTAAAAGATGCCAAGTCTCAACTGTTTTTCTTCGAATGTCTATGGACTGCTTCGTGCCAGTTGCTTGGCTACTTTATGTTGGTAAACACATTTGCATATGAGTGCTACTTTTTCTTTTTTCTTCCCCTCCGTTTTCGGCTAAGTAAAGGAGTAATGTATCAATCTCACTATCTATACATGTTTCTTTTGGTTGATTTTGGAACTTTGAGCTTCGTATGGATTCATAAGAAGTGATCTCTCTCTCTAACACCATATTTATCTCTCTTTTAATTAAAGTAATATTTGTTTGAAATTATTAATCAAGAAAAAAAGCCAATTTAAGTATCTTACAAAGTTTCTACGATTAAGTTGGATTAATTTTTTTTCTGGGGTAAATTCCATTTTTAGTTTCAAATTATAATCAAATCGTATTGTGGCGCTTGAGCTCTAAAACATATTAGAAAGAGAACCCGAACTAAAGTTGTTCTAAGTTGCTCCTTTTTACCATGTGACTACGAAAATCAATAGATAAAAGTACAGTTTGTTTTTTTTTCCCCCTAATAGTCGTGTTCTAACATGTTAGCCGACAAAATTAACATCTATTAATGCGTATATGGTCCTCGAGTGAATTTTTGGTCGAGATTTTAAAATTCAAATAGATGATAAAGACTAAATTGAAAAAGTTTTATTCCGAGACCCTTTAAAAGTCATGCGAAATAGAAAAAGTGTTGCTTTCATATTAGCAAAAGCCAGGGACTGTTTATTGGGTGAATTAGAGGAATGTTACTTCCCGAGGGTTATAGTTCAAATATACTTGGCCCTGTAATTTAAAAAAAAAAAAAAAAAGAACACACAAAAGAAAGGAAAAAAAAAAAAAAAAAAACCATTAATGGATAAAGCCCAAGACACGCGGAAGAAGGCCAGCCTCTACTGAGGCTTCTTTCTACTTTGGTTTCTCGGGAAACACAAAAACTCACCAACGTAAGCCACACAACTTGTAGTTATATGTCCAACCAGACCAGCCATGGCTTGTCAATGCCTGCCATCCCCAAGCGCAAGCACACTCAAACACAATCCCAAACTCCCATACACATCCCCTCTAAGCAGCCTCAACAGTCTCCGTTTCCTCTCAAACACAAACCGTTTCACAACATCCTTAACCTGCAACGCATTCCTTGGCGGCGACATTATTATTCCTGAAAACTTGGAAGAAATCCCAGTACTTTTCCGTTCTGGGTTTGTGCAGTTTGAGAGAATAACAGAGGATTTGTCGGACACCCAGAAGTGGGGTTTCCTTGTTTTTGCTGGTTTGATATGGATATACTTGACTGCAAGGCCCGGTGTTCTTGTGGGTGCCATTGATGCTTACCTTTTGGCTCCTCTCCAGCTGGGTTTGGATAGCTTGATTGGAAGGAGAAGCTTGAAAAGGACTGATTTTGTGATCGGGGATAAGTTGGGTGAGGGCTCTTTTGGTGTGGTGTATTCTGGTGCAGTTGTTCCAAAGAATGTGGTTGTGGAAGAGCCTAGAGGGAAAGCCAAAACGAAAAAGTTGGATCAGAGGTTCAAGCAGAAGGTCATTCTCAAAAAGGTAAACTGGAAAGTCAATGGATATATATATATATATATATGTATGTATGTATGTATATTCAGTTTTCAGTGTTATGTGCTTCTCCTGGTTCCAATTTTCATTATCATCACTATTACAGTTTTTGCAATTTTGTCCCTTATTATATCAGGAGTGATTTGGTTGAGGTTGCTTTATCATTGTTGTGTTTATGTGATCTTGATTTAATTCGGCTTTTCGCGTTTTTTGTTCCCTGAACTCTGAATCCGCAAGTTGCCCTGAACTTTTAGTTGTCGCATATTATGCAGAGTGCTCCAACATCAATTTATGATGTTAAAAATTAAAAGGAATGCCCTCATGCACATGACATGATGTTCTTTGATTGTCATCCAAATATAAGTCTCTTTCTTTAAACAAGCTCACATTTTTAGTACAAATTTAAAAGCTGTTATCGATTTAGAGAAACTTTGCAACACTTTGTCAAATTCAGGTGATAATTTGTTTAAATTAAAAGTTTAGGGAGTAACTTGTTAATCTTGAAAGCTTCAGGGACAAATGTGCTAAATACTTCTTTTTTGGCTCAAAATGTCACATTGAACGGTAAACTTCTTGCACTATGGTTCCTTGTATTTTCTTATCTGGTGGTGGCTTCTGATCCATGTCCTATCCATCAAAAAGGCTGTATTTCTTCCGCTGCGAACATGTGTAACGAATCGAATGAGCGTCTTCAGATAATATAGAGATCTTAGTCTTCCAGTTTTTCACATCCAAGAGGAATCTTACTCTTTCATAGTTATGCTATGATGTAGCAGTTTGAAAGTATTATTTGTTTTCTATACGTGTGTTTCTTATTTGATGAGATTGTGCAGGTCAAAGTTGGGGTCCTAGGGGCAGAAGAATGTGCTGATTATGAAGAGTGGTTTAATTATAGGCTTTCAAGAGCAGCTCCTGAAACATGTGCCGAGTTCCTTGGTAGTTTTGTTGCTGACAAAACCAACACACAGTTTACAAAGGGTGGAAAATGGCTTGTTTGGAAATTTGAGGTATTTTTTTCCCCCATTTCAGAACCTAGTATTTGAGGATTTATGCATACTTTTGTGGCCTTTGTAGCATGTTGGTTTTAAGTTTTACATTTATATCACAACTTCTCCATAATAACTACATGCATATTTTGTGGAAAGTTGTAAGATTCTAAAATTTTACGAAATATGTCCTCAAGACTAAATGAAAAACTGCCTGTACGTTTCAGGGAGATCGAAGTCTTGCGGATTACATGAAGGACAGGAACTTTCCATTTAACTTGGAGTCTGTCATGTTTGGGCAAGTCTTGCGAGGAGTGGACTCTGTAAAGCGGACTGCATTGATCATCAAGCAAATTATGCGCCAGATTATTACTTCGCTAAAGAAAATCCACGACACGGGCATTGTTCATCGGGATGTAAAGCCTGCCAATTTAGTGGTGACAAAACGGGGACAGATCAAGCTCATAGATTTTGGTGCTGCAACAGACCTAAGGATAGGAAAGAACTATGTACCAAACCGTGGCCTGCTCGATCCTGACTATTGTCCGCCCGAGTTATATGTCATGCCCGAGGAAACACCAAGTCCTCCTCCGGAGCCAATTGCTGCACTCCTTTCTCCAATCCTTTGGCAGGTATTGCAGTCTGCATATTTATGCAATAAAAGAAAGAAGTCACTTTTCTGCTCCGTTTGATTCAGCATTTAAGGGCTTTTTGCTCTATTGGTCCAGCTTGTTAAGAAGCGATAGTTTGGTCCTGAACTAGTCCCTCACCTTAATTTTTTTGGCTGGTTGTCCCTGAGATTGACGACGTTCTTTGAAAATTTAATGGAGGCAGTTGTGTGTCAATCCTGTAAAAACAATATTTCACAAAAAACAGTCACACCAATTTAAAAATGTTTTAATTATTAAGCATTTTCCTGGGCATTGAAGATAAATTTTTGCTCTTTTTTTTTCTTTTCTTTTCTTTTTTTTTTTTTTTTGTGTGTAAAATTTCAAGTATCTTGTAATGGACACCTTTGTCAAATTTTATAAGTTCACACCAGTCATAATGGTCAGGGGCCAAAACTGACAAACAAACAAAGTTCATGACTTAATTAGCCTAAAAAAGGGTATACGATAAAACTGTCATAGTGCTAATAATTCAGGGACGAACAGTGCCAAATACTTGGTATATAATGAGTGTCGATAACTTCAGTGATTGAACTTGCAAAGATACCTTTTTGCACGTGTTCGGATCATACGTTGATTAGGTTACTAGGAGTTTTGACCTTATTGTGGCTCTTTCTTTATGTATCAGCATTGATTTCCTCTTCTAATGCACACACAATTACTGTTGCAGCTGAATAGTCCTGATCTGTTTGATATGTACTCTGCTGGGATTGTACTCTTACAAATGGCAATACCAACTCTAAGGTCTGCAGCAGGCTTAAAGAATTTCAACTCCGAGCTAAAAGCGTTTAAATATGACTTGAACAAATGGAGGGAATTTAGTCGGAGATTGCCCGACTTGACGATTCTTGATCTCGATTCAGGTAGGGGGTGGGATCTCGCAACAAAGCTAATTTCGGAGAGAGGTTCCCTTAGAAGAGGACGTTTATCAGCTGGTGCTGCTTTGAGGCATCCTTATTTCTTGTTGGGTGGTGACCAGGCAGCTGTAGTTCTTTCAAAGTTCAGCTTTACCAGAGATTAAACTTCTCAGTGATGCAACTACATATAATATTACCCCTTTTTTTTTCCAATTCTTTAATAATCTTAAATTTCATATGTGATTTTCAACACATTGAGTAATGGTGATATACTTCTTAAGCCTTTGATGGGGAAATTTGAATCAACACTTCTAGTGCTAATTGGTTAGTCATCCATGGATGTTGGATGAAAATTTCCTATTGGGTTCTTTTTGGGCCTCACTTGTGTACTTGGTCAACCAATTTTGTTATCAAGAAATCTCTAATTGATGACCCAAGAATGATGTGTTTTGTAACTTCTCATGCTTTATGTTACAACATTCCAAACAAAGCCTTGATCTATTTTATAAAGCTCCAGTGCAATCATCATCTGTTGAATGTTGTGTCCGAGTCAATTTCAATTTTGGCTGCTTGGGAATCCCATATGGGGGCTCTATTTTTTTCATTTTTCTTGGACCAAGGGTTGTTCTTTCCTGGCCTTTGATTAGTGTTAGTCCCACTGAGGAGCGATGCGGAGACCACATAAATCACCTGTGCATATGAGTTTCATATTATTTTGACTTTGACGGTAACTTCAATTTTTTTTTTTTAAACTGACGTGAGTTATCATTTTGTATTGATAAGTGTTTAAGAGATTGTCTCATTAATTAATAATAAAAGATTGCATCTACTAATAAAAAATAACAAGTTAGTACCAGATTGCATCTACTAATAAAAAATAACAAGTTAGTACCGCACTAAGTTGGTACAAAATGTTGGAATTAGAGTTGGTCTACTAGTGTTGGCCATCTCTGCTAAACTCAAGCTCGTATCTATCTATTCTCTTGAAATCACTCTGTTGCTCAACTTTTTGACGCAGACACGTAAAAGTGGACCTGGTAAATAACTTTCTATATAGTAAAAGGAGTACTTATTCTTTCTGTTTCTCATATTTGTATAGCCATGATTCTCGTACTAACTTTTGTAATTGAGATTATCGCTTCATATGTGTTCTCAGCATCATGTCTTGTAACCCATTTTTACTAACAGTTGTTGCTACACAAGGTGCCATGCATGTCACTAAGGATACGTTTGGTTCATGGATTAGAATCATTTGATTATAACCATTTTCGATTTACGTGTATTTTTTATGAGAGAAAACACTGTAGTGAGCCATAAATTATGATTCAAATCATGGTTTGAATCCTTCAACCAAACACCCCCTAAACCATCGGCATTGAGCACTTTTCTTGCTTCTTTAAGAAAAATGGAAATTGCAAAACTTTTCCTGTCATGGATATATGGGACAATCACATCAGGTTGCAAATTAACCTAAATCTTCTGTTTGAGTTGATTCTAGATAGGCGCTTTCGGCTTTTGTACAAAGTTTCTAGGTATAATTGTATTTGGTAAGATAAGAATTAATTAGGGTTTATTACACCTTAACATATAGAAATGAGAGGTATAACAATGACGTTAAAATTGTGTAGAATTAATCTTTAAATGTCATGTTACACCTATAACTTCTACATGTTAATCTGGACGAGAAAAATAGATACCCAAATAAGGGAGAGGAGTGCAAAAGCCTTCAGGTTGAAAATGGCAAGGTTCATTGTTATCCTTGAAATGACATTTGGGTTACGTTAGGGTACGAATCCGATCCCAACCCAAATAACTGACAATTGATACAAAATTTACTCGACTCATTAAATTTTTTAATTGAAAATATACAAAAATAATATGAAATAACTTTTAAAAAATTTAATTTGAATGAAATTGAAATATATGGTTAGTGAACTATAAATAAATATATTAAGTAAATTAACACTCAAATTGTTTACACTAATTATAACAATACCAATCTAAGTAACATTTTCCTAAAAGGTAACATATACATAAACTGAAAACCAACACGATTAAGTGGGTCGATATGAATACGATATAAATTGTCACTTGGTTCGGTTGTAACAGAGATTGTTCACATCTGCAAATATCTTCATACATCATTCCTCAAATTTTTTTTTTTTCAAAATTTAAGCCATTAACAAGCATTTTTGCACATAGAAACAGATACAAACTGGTATAATAAGAACTTCTCCAACCAACTTGAAACTTGATCTCTTATATTTACTTCTCATAAATCATCATGGTGAAGAGTCTCAAGAGCATGCTTCTTCCTGCAACCCCAACGGCATTTCCAATCACACCTAGAGTTGAAGATGGCAAGTCTCTGGGAGTGAAGGGATATGATCTTTGACGTCGAAGGAGATTGCGAAAGCACAATGGCATAGCCGTCGTCCATGTAGTCCGTCCCCTGAGGGAAGAGTTGCCACAAAAGGCTTCCGCCCCCAGCCCCTCCTTTACTTGTAGAGTTCAAAATAACGTTATACACCGTCGTGATAAGGGTGTCGCGGAACGTTGAGTTGTAACCGGGGTCTTTTGTAGATACTCCGAATTCGGAAAACACAACCGGCATTCCAAGATATTTCTCAGCATCCTCTATGTGAGCTTCCGTCCATGATTTGGTGAATTGGAGATGGACATCAGAGATTGATTGAGAAATCCTTCATGACATGAATTTTTAGCTTGGTCAGAAGTTGTCATGAAACAATGACCAATGATTATATACTAGTAGATAAATTCCTAAATTGTCAGAACTTTTCATGGCCAAGAGAGTATGTAGTACATATAATATATCAACTCAGAGGAAGCATTAAATTATTGAAGAACTCAGTGATGGGGTATGGGAAAATAAAAATTACTGATAAGATAAATTTTAAATCGTCAAATCACATTAGAATCATATCAGATTAAGAAAAATAGGACAGTTTAAAACAATTTGGTGAAAATCTAAACAGTTTAAAATTATGTTTAGAGGTAGTTTTTTTTTTTTTTTCCAACCCGCCGAAGAATTCTCCTAAACGATTTGTGAAGTTGAATAGAAAATTTGGCGAACACCTACCAAGAGTCTGCATAGATGTGAACCGAAGCAAAATCAACTCCAAGAACCTGGTGGTTTCTTATAAAATCAGTGCCAACTTGTTGAGCATATGTGTTTGGATTGAATTGAACTTTATTAGGTGTTGAGGGACCATAAAATCCTTCTAATCCAATCTCCACCAAGTGCTTTGGATCAATACTCTTCACATACACTGCAATTTCTTCTATCCAGGCCTAGAAGATTACCATTTCTAGAGTTTAGTGGACAGAAATAGAATTTTATTTCTTGAGAGAATTCATAGGAATATCACATGTATTTGAAATGTTTTTCCTGTTATATGAAACATGATTGCACGTATACTCATCGTTCGTTCAAGAAAGCAAACCTGAAGCACATTGCCGGAGGGATCTGAGGTGCATCGAGGCTCATTCATCAGTTCCCAAGCGAAAATCGTGGGGTCATCCTTGTAAGTTACATTTGTAAGTGTATTCACCCTATTTAGCACTGTCTGCATAGTCAAACATCATTCAATAAATAAATACTTAGTAGACTACACAGGAACAAAAAACAGAACGCATTTTACAAACTTAATTCACATAGCAGAAACTCAAATGATCATATCGCAATCGCTAATAAGGCGTGTTAGTCATGTTTTATTCCAAGTTAAACAATCACAAGATAGCTATAGATAGTAACAATTTTAAGAACTTGCCTTAACATGGGCCCTGTAGTAACTTCTGAGAGTCGGGTGGGAAAAGAATTCATCGTCCGATGTCAAATTCAGGCCAGCGGCTTTTCCCCATTTAACATATTGTGGTTTACCTCCATATGCATCCCAGTTGTTAACTAGTGAAAGTATGAGCCTGATCTTGTATTTCCTTGCTTCACTTACCACAAAATCTAGAGCCTGAAACTCCAAACGATTTGAACTAGCTCCTATGAATTTACTCTTAGAAGTAATAATCAATATAGCACTAGCCAAATCTAAAGTACAGAAAAGGGTAACAATAAACTTCCCAAAAAAACAAAAAAAAAACAGTAGAGAAGCATTTTTCTTTGTACAGCAGGGTGATAAGGGTACATAGTTTTTAGGTTGATCAACCAGAGAAACAAAAACAATAGTAAACATCTTTGGATGATGAAACACCAAAAACCGAAAATGTGACTAAGAAGTTAGAAACAAACGGTTTAGAGTACCTTGAAAACATCTTCATCATAAACTGATGGGGATTTTTGAAGAGCTCGCCACTGGCCGTCGTTGAACCCCCATGTCCTGCAAACGGTTAGGCCTGCAGAAGATGCCTCTTTAAACAGCTCAGAGACTTTCCCTCTTGTGGAATTATCCGCGGCAAATACCATCAACCAGTAAGTGTTGAAACCATTTACATAGAAAGGTTGATCATTGAGGACAAATTGGTTCCCTTTCTTCTGCACCATTTCCCATGATTCAACTTCCCTTATTTCACCAAATTCATCAATCCTAAACAAATGGGAATGAGAAAATTCAGTGCAAAATACATTTCTTATACTAAAAAGTATGAGTAAATGTACACAAGTGATCATATGAAAATCCAAATATAATAAATGTAGATGGTAATAATAAACACTATTGGTTTTTCAACCGATCAAAAATTGCCACAGGACCGGAGCTATCTTAGGTCCAAGGGCGGCAGCTGCCCCCGGGCCTAAGGACTCCTTACAAATTTAGAAATCATTTCACTAGTTTGCCCCATGAAATTTTTTAATTGCAATATCTAAATAATTTTTTTTTAAATTTCTATTGTATTCCAAGTTTTGACGTGTAACTATACTCATACTTCAAATTTAAAATCCTAAATAAACTAAAAATTAACCAATTATTTTTGCGACTCAAACTTTAAAAAGTGAATTGAACTCTACTATTAACTTAGTTAAAAGCAGAAAAATATATACAAATAGATAAATGGGGGTAAAAAAGAGAGAAAGAGTATAAGAAAATATAGCTACATTATAATTTTAGTTCGAAATTTTAATTTAATTCACACTCCTGGAAAAACTTTTTGGCTCAGCCACTAAATTGCATGTTGAACCCTTTATGTGTGTGCTTGTAATATATACAAGCCTGTAGAGCTAACATGTGAGTATGATTAGCTAAAAATTACTGGTAGTGGACGTCACTAAAATTAATATAGTGCCAATTATGTATTATTCCAAGAAAAATATTAATTAATAAATAAATAAAGAACACAAAAAAAAAAAAAAAAACAAAAAAAAAAAAAAAAACATTTATGGGGTTTGTGCTATTGTAGCGTTTTAAAACATTTCTTCTATATGCCTACCCATCACTTGTGCCAGAATATGATGGAAGATCTTCCATTTTTCCCAACAGCTCAGCTCCAGTTCCTGCATATACAAAGCCACTTAACTGATAATTAATCAAAACCAAAGAAATTGCCACCACAAAAAGTTTGTATAACCAATGTTTGCTTTTGTGGGCATCCATATTATTGAACTAGTTATGCAATTCATATATGCATATTTCTCCCGGTGAATATTTATATTGATATTGGGGAAAGAAATTGTGGAGGACAAGAAAAGTGTTGAAGTGGGAAATGAATGTTTTAAACTTTGAAGGGACGAAATTTTTATGTTTTATTTTTGCTTCTTCTCTCTGCCACAATGTCATTTGGGCTTTGAGAGCTTATTCATGGTTATCGAATGAAGGGTAGGAGTAAAGTTGCAACTTCTTTCAATTTCAATGCCACTCCAAGATATGTCAAAAGTGGGTCCCTTAATCTCATCAGTCCTAGATTAATTTTGGGATTAGGAACTAAAATGGGGTGATTGTAGAGCTTTAGATAAGGAAATTACGGAAATGAAAACAAACATGGTATTGCCTTATTGGGCATGTCACGTTGATTTGGTGGGAAATGTTGTGGAAATTGTTATTTGGGTAATCAGTTTTAAGGGTTTTTTTCACATAAATTTGATGTAATTGGTTTTTACTTTTTGTTGTTCAGATGTCTTGTCATCAATAGACTTTTTTTTTTTCCCTGTGACAACTGGTAAAGTAAGAGCAACAAACCTGCGTACGTTCTATCCATAAATAATAAACATCATAAAAAGAAAAGAAAGCTAGAAGAGTTTTTTAACCTGTTTCTGGTCATCAATCAAGAAGAAGATGGTTTGCTTGTGGTGATCCAAGTAGACAAAGGTCCGTTCACTTCGTTGATTCGAATTTGTAATTCGAGTTAAGATGTGATTTTGTGTGAGAACATTTTACTGTAGCAAAAAAAAAATTAGATATGACTGTTTCTGAGAGCTTTTTACTGTAACAAAACTCAAATTCTAAACTCGAATCGGCGAAATGAACGGGGCCAAATTTGGCCAAGAAGAGAGAGAAAAAGAAAGGAGCGTTGGAGGGTAGGAGTTACTTGTGCTGATCATAGAAGAATAAAAGAAGAACAAATAGAGAATTTGAACAAATTTAAATGTCGGTTGAGCTGCAAAAATTTTAAGAGTTTCTCGCCGATTTACTTTACTGATAATCTGAGTTTTTAATTATTAAATTTAATTAAAATTATATTAAATTAAGAAAATATACGCATAATTATTAATATAAATTTAACAATTAAAAAATAAGAGACCATCAATAATTTATTTTGCGCGAATTATGAGAGAGAGAGTCCCAAATTCCAATGGTTTTGGCTTTTGGCATTGGCAGCTTTCGGTTGGTCTTAGCAATTCACTCTAACATGCCACCCGTCCACTACTAAACTTTGTGTTAACAAATAATTTTTGTTGTTTTGTCAAATAATAGTAAGGGATTTTTTTTTAATACGTGAATATGTCGATAAGTCAAGTTTTTTATTTATCAAATTTTTATAAAATATGTGAAAATTAAAAAGTATATAGATTTAACAGTTAAAAAAAATTGATTTACCAATACACTAATCGTACTAAAAAATATCCCTAATAATAATAACAACAATAACAATAACAACCCTTATGTTAAAGTATAAAAATTATTATTGCCATATCTCTTGGCAGTTTCAATTTTTAGGATGGATTGATAAATGAAAAAAACTACATAAACGTGCACAATATTGTATGTAAAAGAATATTGTATATACTATATAGAAGATTGGACAAGTTTCAATTTTTTGGATGAATTGATAAATGAAAAAAAAATGCTCCGTTTATTTATTGATTCGAGTTTAGAATTCGAGTTTTGTTATAGTTAAAAACTCTCAGAAACAGTCACATTTAACTTTTTTACTACAGTAAAAAACTCTCAAATAAAATCACATCTTAACTCGAATTAAAAATTTAAATCAGTGAACTAAACATGCCCAAAAACTATATAAATTGCAGAATGTTATACGAAGAAGAATATTGTACGTAGTAGATTGGACAGTATTCAATACCATCGATGCCTTTATAACATTGCTCAAAATACCAACACTATTACGCCACAATTTTCCAAGTGTCTCTGTGAATTTCAAATCTAGAACATGAGTTAACAAATAATGAACTCACTAATGTATCATCAATGGATCATTTCAAGTTTTTAGAAGCAAAAATACCCTTGACATTTAGCAACCAACCGCTCT